TACTCTTCAAGAAAGATATGACACTTTCCTGATGTGGTGGAACAATGTTTATCAAAGAGGGCATCTCAAGGAAAGAAAGCTTAGTTAAGGGAAGGAACAGGAGATCCTGAGCTACAGGGATATTAGCAATGGTCTGGGGCATCAGAGATCTGCTGTCCAGCCTATAGGAAGTAGATACAAAGAAAGGAAAAACATCCTAAATAATCATTTATAGAAAATTCATCAAGGAATAATGAGTATCTATTGTGGAATCACAAAAGATTTATACTCATCCATTGACTTCAAGACTATTCATGAGTTTTGTGTTTTGACTGGATTAGTTTCTAATTTGTGGAAATCTTTGAAAAGTGACAAACACTGGCAAGTTTGATAAAAAGAAGGGGAGACCCAAGAAAGAAGGGAGAGTTGATTTTGTGAGGAAAACCTTCATAGCAGGTACTGACATGGACAAGGTTAGAAGCCAAGGAGAACCCAAGGAGATGTTTGCAGAGGGCTGGGCTACTTTATGGAGCAAAATCAACAAGGGTGGAAGTGACTACACATGAGGCTTAAAGAGAAGAGACAGGCTGTGTACTGCAGTATCGGAAGATTTCCCATGATCTACCTGTCAAGCAGCACAGCACCAGGCTGTGGTCAACCTACCATAGCCTTGTGGATACAATGGCTAAAATCAGAGGGATGTGATTAAGGCAGGGCATGTTTTCATGGTGGCAGAGAAAACTGTGACATCTTCTGACAGGACTGTATGTGGAAAGCACAGTGGGTTTCTGAGCATAAGTTCTTTTTTTTTTGTGGCCAGACGTCACACCTGGTACAGTCCATGTTGATGAATGAAATTCTTAAACAAGTCTATGAACAACTGGAGTAGTATTAAGGAGCAGAATTGTTAGCTTCTGTTATATTTATATATTCCTTAACATGTGTTTGCTGGCTCAGCTATGAGCCCAGGTAAAAACAAAGCTCAAGTAAGCTCCTTTTTTTGACAGTCAAGCTGTCCTGAGTCAGTCATTCACAGAGGATATTTGGTAGAGATGTGGCTTTGAAGTGGTTTTGAGCCTGGCATCTGGAAAAAGGGGACCCTTGAGAGTAGAAAGAATTGACAATCTCTTATAAATTCAAACATAAAAGCCTTTAATAAATTTGTCCAAAGCTAACCTTGGGACTCAGGAACAGTTTGCTCAGTCTCCTCTGACAAACATGACATTGTGTACATGAAATTCAAACAAAAGTCCATTGTAAATGACAGTGGCTTTGGGGTGAAGAAGGAAGAGTGGAAACGCATGCGAGATTGGCAGGAATTAGCTACGTTTTATTCTCATTGGGGAAAACGGATGGATTTCTTTTAAAGCAATACTGCAATAAAAAAAAATAGTGGATTGGCTTAAAGAAATTAAAAGTTCGTGCATGGATTTAAATATACTCTAGCTTCTGAGAAGACAGTCATGATTTGAATCTCTGCCCAATGAAAATAAAGAAAATTACCAGTTTACTTGAAGCTTTATTTCATGTATCATAAATGGACAACAGTTATAACTTTTGTCTTTAAAATGGATTCTTCTCTCATATATTACATCCCGACTGCAGTTTCCCCTCCCTCTTCTACTCCCAACCCCCCCTCCCTCCTCTTTCCTTTCCCAGATTCCTTCCTTCCTCTGTTTCCCTTCAGAAAAGGGCAGGCCTCCCAGGGTTATCAACCAATCACAGCATATCAACTTGCAATAAGACTAGGCATATCCCAGTAAGATGGAAAGGGTCTCAAAAGCAGGCAAAAGAGTTAAGACAGCCTCTGCTCCCACTGTTAAGAGTCCCATAAGAACACCAAGCTACACAACCATAACATATATGCAGAGGTCCTAGGTCATACCCATACAGGCTCCATGATGTCAGTTCAGTCTCTGTGAGCCCCTGTGAACCCTGCTTAGATGATCCTGTGGGTTTTCTTGTAATGTTCTTGACCCTTCTGGCTCCTATAATCAGAAGTTATAACTTTCAGTTGCTTCGTGTGTGAGTCAGTGTGTGTGTGTGTGTGTGTGTGTGTGTGTGTGTGTGTGTGTGTGTGTTGAATTCAGGGCATCATTCATGTTAAGGATATGCCTTACCACTCAGGCCCAGTACTAATTTACCACATTTTTTTAAGGAGATGAAAGTCAACAGTTATATGAAATGATGTTGCTATTTGTGTATAACATTATGATTTTTAATTGTAGATGTTGCTGCTGTTTAAAAATTCTTCCCATTTTTCTGTTGAAGTAAAAGTCTCCTTATTAATTAGTTTTTGTTTATTTTTTCTAAGGAAGGACCATATGGTACATGTTACCTGAGAATTTTTCACTTAAATATAAAGTTGGCATTATTGAGAAGTATACACTCTTGGTAGAGTACACACCCTCTGTAGGGTGTAGGCCCTCTGTAGATAATAGGTCCTCTGTAGATTATAAGTCATCTGTAGCACTCTGGTATTTTGGAAAGCACATAAGGCTTGTAAGGGGAAGTGGGTCATGTCATTTTTGGTGATGATGAATAAAAATAACAGAAATTGATTCTGCAACTAAGAAAAATGCACATAACAGTAAGAAAGGAGTTAAGTAATCAACTATGATATTTAATACAACTAAGATGTACTCTATGTATAAAAATTGGCCAACAAAATTCCAAGTCACAGACTGAGCCCCCAGTGATTACTGGAGGGTGTAAGCCATGGAGAGTAAGAGTGCTTCCTTGTGATAGGATGAAAGGTAAGAGAGGCAATGTTTGCCTCCTGATAACAAAGAGATTGTGTGATGATACTTTACAAACCTTCTGAGGATCCTAAGATCTCTCAGCCTGGTCTGAACGACACTCCATGGGAACTTTCATGGCAGCTATGCAGATGGTGATACTAACATTGTATAGATTTCAAAAGTCTCACACAAGTTTTGGATCATTCAACTTTACCCATGTGTCTAGTTTGTTAGCTCTAAACATTGAATCTTAGACCTTGTAAAAATGTTTCAAATCTTTCTTTATGGTTACAAAGACTTTTAAAAACTCGATAAACTAACAGAATTTGTTTTGGGATCCCTCCGGAGTCATTTACAATTTATATATCCATGATGCACCTCTAAAGGTGGAAGTAATTGCAGAAATGATGGGGGCAACATGCTAGATGGCAAATATTGCTATTTCATCCGTCTCTTCATCCTCCTCAATTAGGACAGCTAATGGTGTTCCCATGACGAACAGTTAATTGCATAGGACAAAGACTAAGTTTTAATAAGCATATCATATTCCCTTACCTAATTAAACATCATGCATTTGATACATTAATGAATCCTAAGAAATAGCACTGATTAACTAAATACAACAAAGTAAAACAAGTATCCATGTAGAATTAGCTATTGATAAGTCAATATAAGCACTACTGGAAAAATCATAGTCATTAGTAAATCTCAGACTTTTAAGACTATATTTTAAGTAGATATTTTTAAACATACAACTTTAGAGACATTAAGTTTGGAGAATTGAAAGCACTAATGAAATCATGAGACTGTACCCTCAAAATACCTCTTCAGCCAAACATGAAGGACCATTTCCTAATGGCTAGCCTCCACTTAGTAGTTTTTACATGGTGCCCATTAAAGTGCCAGATGAACCCAGTCCTTGTAACAGCCCTTGAGATAAGTATTAACTTTCTGACATCATTCTAACATGAGAAAGCTATAGAATAGGGTATGGAGTGTCTTGCCCATGGGTAAGAAGGTAGTATGTACTGACTTGGGTATTTGAACCTACACTACAATACTCTTGAAACCCAATTTCTTTTTTTTCTTTAAAAAAATTATAATTAATTTATTTTTATATCAGCCACGGATTCCTGTGTCCTCCCTTCTCCCACCTCCCAGCCCTCCCCCTCAATGCACCCCCCCATTCCCACCTCCTCCAAGGCAAGGTCTCCCCTGGGGAGTCATAGCTGAGGAGTCCCCATGGAACTGGACCAGGCTCTCTGGATAAGTGAGACAATTAATTAGCTTTGAACTGTTTAGGAGGCCCCCAGGCAGTGGGACCGGGACCTGTCCTTGGTGCATGAGCTGGCTTTTTGGAATCTAGGGCCTATGCCAAAGCCCAGTTTCTTAACTATTTTATCAGCCAATTTTTTATTAGAAGATATAGATGACTAAAAACGGCTAGTATACAGATAATTTCTCTAATTTGTAGAAACCCAGACTGCATGAGGACTAGGAAAGCTGTATTCTAGACACCTTAAATGTATGTTAATAGTTCAGTTCTGTTCATTGCAAACATTCTGTTGGTCTGCAATGACTTCTGATAAAGACCAGGATGAAGGCAAGTAAAAAGCTGGGTGGGTGCCATGGCTACAGTGGCAGGGCTATGGGTGGAGATGCCACCATTAACTCAGAAATAGCTTCTCTTCTCTTAACTGAAAAATTTTTCATATAACATATTCTGATTATGTTTCTCAAATGTTCCCAGATCCTCCTGACCTACCCACCCCCCAGTCCACGGTTTCTTTTTCTCTCTGTTTAGAAAACAAAGAGGCAAATAAAGAAACAAACAAACAAACAAACAAAAACCCAAACAAATAGACAAAATATCCAAACAAAGGAAAAGAAAAACACATGAAAATCTGTCTCTCTGTTTCTCTCTGTCTTTCTGTCTCTGTTTCTGTCTCTCTCTCAAACACACACACACACACACACACACACACACACACACACACACACACACACACACAAATAAAAATTGGAAAACATAATATTCAAGCAAAAGACCAATAAGACAAAAATACCCAAACAAAACAAGATGAAACAAAAAGCTTACAGGGAAATCACTGTTTGTTCTCTGTTAGCCATCTACTGTTGGTCACTGGGCCTCCCCTTAAGTGCCGTTAACATACCAGTGAGACTCTGTTGGAGAAAGCTGATTTTTCCTTTGCAAGCAGGTACTAGTTGCAGATAGTTTCTTTATTACAGGTGGGAGTCCCATGTCCACTGCCCCCTCTCAGCACTGGGACCCTGTCTGGCTTTCACCTGTGCAGGTTGCCATGGTCTCTGTGAGTTCATATGTGCATCAGTCCTGATGTGTCTGGAAGACAATGATTCCTTGAAGTCATCCGTCCCTTCTGACTCTTAGAATCTTCCTGCCTCCTCTTCCATATAGCTCCTTGAGTCCTGAGGAGAGGGTTTTAAAGAAGACATCATGTTTAGGATTGAGTGTTCTTAAGTCTCTCACTTTTACTCAGTTTTTCAATTTAATTCCTTGTGAAGCTATTTTTTAAATGTAGACAATCCATCAAAAGTAATGTAAAATTAAAAGTTACTTAAGTTTGCCTAAGTGGTATTTAGTCACTGGCCTTCCTCTCTCACACAATTCATAAACTAAGGAATCATTCTACTCACATTTATATGCATATTTCAATAGTAAGTCTATATTTATGACTATATGGTATAATTCAAATATTAATATGTTTATAGAACTAGATAAGACTGGTACTAAAAAATGCCTTTTTATCAAAGACAATTGAAATTCAACTTTAAATAATCTTTATTGTCAGTGATGTAATCCTTCAGTTTCTGACATGGACTACTTAGAATTATGACAACCCGGGGTGTCTACCATTCTTAAACATTATCCTAAGCAATTTACATAATGTTAATATACAATTTACAATAAATTCACTGGCTAGGTGTCATTCAAACCACTCTGTGGGCAGAAAGTAAAGTTAGTGAGAGAAACTGACTTACCTATAGCTGTGTGTGTCACACCTGAACCCTTTGCTTTCAAGTATGTAACAATTAAATACATCGTTGTCACATATTTCAGAGGCCTTTAATGAAATCATAAAATGTGAGTTTTAATTTCAAATGGTATTTACTATGACAAAGATGAATGAAGATTATTTGTGAACAATCAATGACGATCTGGTAAGAGTATATTCTCTATCAAGGAGGAATATTTAAGGAGTTTTGTTCTCATACTGGTCCAGTTACTAGAGTGTGTATAACCATATTCTGTTGTTATGGTTTCTAGATTCTTCCAAAGATGAGAAGGGGTAGACTCTGTCTATTGTTTCAATAGCTATAGCTCAAAAGTACATTGTTTGTAAAAAAAAAAAAAAGTCATTTTAAAGTGATATTAGTACGTTTAGAGTTTTAAAAATAATGTTTTATCAATTAAACTGCTGCCCGTGAACATTGTCCTTCAATTCTAGGAACATAGGAGCCGTTTTAGTTCAGTTATTCTTAAGCACAGCCACACACACTATTTGTCCTATTGTTTTGAGTCTGTCTGCAGGTGATGTGACAGGCTGTGCTAGAGGGCTAATGTTTTCCTTGTGGGTGGAGACCCAGACAGCTCTGATTGGAGTTGTGGGTGGGGAGTAGCTTGCTTGGCCTTCTGTGAATGTTGATAACTTAACATTGACAAATGATCACATTATCATTAATCGGGGTATTTGATATGAAGACCTGCATATTCATCATGCAGACAGTGGCTTTAAACTTGAAGCATTCCAAAATAATCATATATATCAGGTTTAGAGGAGGGCAGAAATGACATGGATATATGGACAGTAAATTTAAATTACCCTTCTAACTTGAAAACCCTTTCATTGATTTGGAAAGAAGACCACAAACTCATCTACTTATTCATGAGCTGAAGTAAAATAATGAGAATGGGAGAAAAGAAATACCCTTCTCCACCTGCCAGGCCTGGCTAGGGAAATCTGCCATTAATATTCCCCCCTCTTTCTGTCTCTCTGTCTCTCTCTGTGTGTCTCTGTCTGTCTGTCTGTCTGTCTCTACCCCTTCTTTTCATTCTTTCTCTCATGCAAGAAATTGAACCCAGGACTTAGCACATTCTAGAATTCCAGACAAGCACTCTACCACAGAACTATATTCCCAGCCCAGCTCAGCCCCAAATTCATACTTTTGAGTGGGAAAATTCTCCTTATCCCAGTGGTTTTTTTTTTATTACTTATTGTACACATAAACAGATAGCAGACAATCCTGGCATATGCAGATACAGTCTGTACTCAATGACCAAAACAGATAATTAGATGGCAGCTAACTTCTTGAAATCCAAAAATGTTGATGTCTCTGGTACACTCAGAGTATGTATAGATAGTGCAGGGTCAAGATGAGGACTTGACTGCTTGTGTTTTCATTCTGGAGTTCCTACTAAGATTCTCAGAATGATGTTTTAGACAAGTCCTCATTCCAAAATAAGAGTACTTAGTTCATGGAGGTCTGAACAATTTAATGTGTAAACATCAATGCCAGCATGTAGTAAAAACTTTACCTTTGAATAATATCAATCATTCTTTGAATAGTCCTTAAGAGTAAGTTTGCCTCCCTAAAATCGGAAGCTCATTCAACTAAGATTTTTAATGCTGAATGTACTTATAATCATCTTGAATTATATTCCAGAGGGCTTGTGTACTGGGTCTTTAAAATGAGGTGGTTTTATTGGGAAAAATCATATAGTATATAATTCTCTGATATTGAAAATAAAAAAATGTGTTAAAATATTGGGTGTTTGAGGGGCGGAGAGGCATCATGACATAGGCACATTTTTAACTTTTGTAACAGTAGCTTCCAACACCTGCATAGATTAAATCAGTCACCTAGTTATAGGTTGGAATATCATAGGGGAGGATGCTGGATCTTTGGCTAAACAACCATCTTCACAGAAAGGTCTCAGGAGGTCACCATATAGATACTGACAAGTTGGGGATTGCTATAGCTAATATTGATAATCAGCTTAATAGTGTTTAGAATCACCATGGAAATGAATTTCTGTGCGTGTCTGTGAGAGATTTGCTAGATTGTGCTAATTAAGGTGAGAAGACCCACTCTGAGTGTGTGCAGCATCATTTCCTGGTATACCAGGCTGTATGTAAAAGGGAAAGGAAACTGACCACAAGGATTCATGTCCATCTGCTTCTTGACTGTAGGTGCCCAAATGTGACCAACTACCTCTAGCACCTCCTGCATTGACTTCTTAGTGGGGACGGACTATACCCTTGAACTGTGAGCTGAAACAAAGCCTTCTTTAAGTTGTCTTCCTAAGGTGTTTGTTGAAGCAGTGAGTGAAAAGTACAGAGATAAGGAGTATATTCAAAGGGAAGAAAGAGGACAATTAGGCCATCCATAATGCCACAATGGAAACAGTAGTTTTATGTGTGCATACAGGTGTATGTGTTGCAGGTGAACTTGTGTGGGCATTATGGCCGGAGTTTCTTTTTGTTTGCTCTTTAGTTTTTGAGATAGCGTCTCTCACTGAATCTGGAGCTCAACTGTTAGGCTAGATTGTGTGACCAGCAAGCTCTAAGGATCTGTCTGTTTCTGCTTCCCCAGCGTTGGTAGCACCTGCATGCTGCCCTGCCTAACTTTTCACATGATTTCTGGGGATCTGAACTAAGGTCTGTAGATGTGTATGGCAAGCATTTTACTAACTGAGAAATCTCCCCAGGCCCATGAGTCCAAAAGGAATATTCTGCATTATTAAAGTTTATGGAGAAATACATCAACAAAAAACATTGCTGTCTCTGTCTCTGTCTCCCCATGAGTCCAAAGGAATATTCTGCATTATTAAAGTTTATGGAGAAATACATCAACAAAAAACATTGAACTCTCTATCTTCATAGATATGTCATTCTGAGATGCAATGTATAGAGGGCTTTGTGTAGTACTCTTCAACAGCACCATCCCAGTGCCAGGGAACACACCAAGGAAGCAAAACAGGCACCACTGCTCTGTCTTCATGGTGTTTGAGGTCCACACTGCAAGGTGCAGCCGGTGTACACATCCGTCAACGATAAAAATGAAGCAGAAAGAGTACAGATGTTGGCGTAACTGCTGGTCAGCCATAGTCCTCCATTATCCTTGTAAACAGTGCAGCATAAGGTATATTCCTTGGGCAGAAATTCTATGGTGGTTGCATCCTCCATGTTCCTTGAAAGTTGAAGCTCTGAGCAGGGCATCTGAGCCTTTGATGATAGTCTCTCTTCCCTAGGTTTTACATCTCAAGCACCACAGAAAGGGGACCACTGTGCTTCCTAGTTAGGGCAGTATCCTTTTAGACTTGGTGTAATCAACCTGTGGTGAATCTTTTCTCTTAGTCTAAAGGTCATATTTGTAAAAGCATGAAATCTGGGGTTTTCATTGCCACATCTGCCAATCATTTCAATCACTTGCTACTCAGGTAACAAAGCCAGAAACCAAAAAAGATCTGCCCAGAGCAGGAACAGACTAAATGGATTTGTCTATCAAGTGCATCTTAATCCTATGTGTTAGTGAAATGTTTTCAGCCAACTAACAATGACAGAATGAATGAGTCAATGATTTTTGTTTTTTGTTATGGAATGGAAAAATGAAGGGGGAACAGTTCAAGATACACACCTATGTTAGACCAGAATGGGTGGCAAGCTCTTTAACTGACAGAGCTTCACAGCTAGAAGATGCTTATTGGATCAGTTAAATGACTAGACACTTGAGCTCAAGGCTGAATTTCTTCTTGCCATGAGAACTATGTGTTAGAGCCTAAGTAGTATTCTGATGACTTATCAATGGATATTGAAATATAAACAGAAATATATTTATAATATAAATAAAAAAATGAATGTTAATGACATAAACTGTGAGTTTGGATTCTATGTGAGATGGTAGGTTAATTCCACTCCATTGACCTTTGCTCCTCATGCCAAGGTATCAATTTCTTGCCTCATTGGCTCTAGATCCATCCATGATCCACAGATCTATGACAATAAAAGCCAGCCCTTGAAATATTTTTTTCCTTTTTCTGCTTACACCATGATAAGTGAAGTCCTTTGGGATGTTGCAAAAACTGCAGGAGAAGGCTTTCTTTTCTGGGTCTCCTGTGTGCTTCTCTTGTGGGGAGTCCCTGTAGCAGTGACTGCTCCTTTGACTCATGTTAGTTGGTGTATCTGGCGCGACCCTAATGCACCTGCCACCTATGCTGGATCTGCTGTTACCATCTTGAAACACTTAGCAATCTTTGATGCAGGAATCTTATCTTTTCATTTTGAACTAGGCCCCACGAAGTATGTTCCTTCAGTTAATGGTATCTTCTTCACTGCCAAGATCATACAACATGGGGAGTTTCTCCTGAACCCAATTCCCAAAGAGCACAGTGGTGAACAGTATTCAAGACCTGGCTACTCCCTCCGTCCCCTCATGGGTGGTTTCACACAGACCCTTTGGTGGGAATTGTCTTGGCAGCATCTGGATCTGAAATGCATGAGGCTTCCATTCTGCTCTTACCTTATATTACCCAAGGATGCTCATCCCTCTCTCAAATTGGGATTGATAAATCAGGTGCCAGTATCCCTGTGAGCTCACTGTGAGGAGGAAGTCCTGAGGATTGCCATGGACATCAACGCTGTCTTGGAGAGGAGGCCAAAGCTGAAAGAGGGAAAGCAGAGGAGGGAAACAGAAAATGAATGACTCAGGGTTCAAGAATGGTCAGCAATTGACAAGGATGCCCAGGCTACAGAGGTGGGGAGCACTGGATCACAGTTCTGGGAAAGTGGACTCTAGGTGAATGTTTGAGAACCTAACTTTAAATATCAGTGTAAGCCATTATCTTTGCAATACATTCACAGTCCCCAGAATAGAAATTCCTGTGTCACCCGGCAGCGGTGGCCCATGCCTTTAATCCCAGCACTCGGGAGGCAGAGCCAGGCAGATCTCTGTGAGTTCAAGGCCAGCCTGATCTACAGAGTGAGATCCAGGATAGCATCAGTACTACACAGGGAAACCCTGTCTCAAAAAACCAAAACAAAAAACAAAAAACAAAAAAAAAGGAAAGAAAGAAAAGAAAAGAAATTCCTGTGTCATCCTTCCTTTGTTTAATTCTTCTCTTCTTCCACATTTTGGAGCAGCAAATCAGCTGCTGCTTGTCCTGAAAAGGCATCAGATAAAGTCCCAGACCTTTATATGAATGACAAAAGCCATTTACCAAGACATTGACATTCCATTATTGGAGATACAGTACAACTAAAAATATTAAGAGTTATAAAAATAAGGAGCCTACAACACAGTAGGATTCAAAAGCCGCATTCCTTTGGATAATTTCTAACACTTCAGCAGTAGAGTCACATCTGAAAGTATGGATGGCCTTATACAATTTCACTTCCTTGACATTTTGCCAGCATATTACTACGATTTGTATTAGACGTACACAAGAACCTCAGTGGATTACTTCCCTACCTGGGAGCTATGACTTCTTGTTATTTAATACCTTTTCGTTTTGGTGCTACACACAAAAAGAATTTCTGAGTTATTTTCTTCTCACTTAAATTACATTTAGTTTAAAGTTTGATGTGTGAGGTTTTAAATTTCAATTATTTCATGTAATTTTTTTTCATTTTTTGATGTTTAATTTTTGTAACACAGTTATCTTTAATTTTGATTTTTATGATTTCTTTTAATAAGTTAGTTAAAAATTCCTTTGAATCCTAATCATAATTTTTTAAATGTAATTTCCATATTGTACTATTATTTTTATTTCATCTGTAGTGAATTAATTTTCCAGCTGCAGGTTTTGCTGGCTGTGGCCTCCCTCCCTCCTTTGCAGCCTTCTTTTCCATATATTTTGTCTCCCTCTGTCCCTCCCCTTTTCCCTCTGTTCTCTTCTTCTGTGGCTCCCTTCTTAAGTCCTCCAAGTCAATTTCAAGACTTGTATTATCACCTTGGCATTGATAACATCCCACAGCTCCATGAGATACTTCTTAGATTTTTGGCATGAAATGAGCTTTGCAAGTTAACAGGTATAGACTACAAGATTCTGATGGTTCTCTTATGCCATGCTAAATGTGGGCCTCAGCTACAGCTCGAACAACAGATTCAAAATCTCCTTGACTAGAAGTTTCAAAATATTTGAAGAAAAGTGGGGCTGAGTAGCCTATCAAGTGCTAGTTCTTTTGGGTTCCCACCTCCTAGGGTGCAAATTTTGTTCCCATTTCTCCTGCAGATGTTCATTACTCTTTGTAGGATGTCTTAAAGCATGGGTTTCAATGATCGTCTCAGCAAGCACTCTGTCTCTCTATGTGCGGGTGTCTATCTTTCTCTGTCTTTTTCTGTCACACACTATCTGTCTCTCTGTCTCTGTATACATGTTTCATTTCAAGCTAGGTATAAGTGATCTCTCTGTCTCTGTCTCTGTCTCTCTCTCTGTCTCTCTCTCTCTCTCTCTCTCTCTATATATATATATATATATATATATATATACACATTTATATTTATATAGCAGTCAGAGTATACTATGGACTGAGCAGAGTAGGTTCTTTGGATATAGAGAACAGAGTTCAGCCTCCTTCTTTGCTCTCTTCAGCCAGTGGCAAGGGCAGAATAGAGAAGTTTCCTTCTCTTTGGCACAGCTGTAGAAGTAATGGAGGTTAGTTCTCAATTTTGAGGTTTTGGTGGTTCAACAAATACCTACTCACTAGCAGCAAAGCCTGGTGAAGTGGTCTATGACATCATTTTTTTTTTGAACCACAAAGGGCAGAAACAAGTGTGCATATCCAACAATCACATGGTCAAGTATGTTCATGGACTCCAAACATAAGAATAGGCTTGACAGTACTTAGAAAATAGCTGAAACTAAAACTTTGGGGTTGATTTAAAGAAAATATTAGACCTACTAAAGGTGAGTAGGCAGTGTGTACATTAGTTTTATTAGTGACAAGTAGTGACTCAGAAGCACTGCTGGGAATGCAAGCAGCTGTGCCCAAGCTGGGTTATTTTATCTGTTTTCATCTCGGAGACCTAGAGTAAGCAGACAAGCAATAGGAAAAGACAGAAGGAGACTGGGAGTCCTGAAGGAGAATGGCTGCAGTGGGAGGAATTATCCCAGAAAACAAAGAGCAGCGAAGGTTACTTAGCAGAGGAAAGAAAATGACACAGGAAGCTAAGCACATGAAATCAAATGGGGCAAATGGATTGTCCTTCCCTTGACATGAATGAAGTATTCAATATGAGATATCAGTCCGTAGCTTGCTGCTCACACTGTTACATTTTCAAGAGACATCATCCCACCAAAGGGTCTACCTGCTTCCCACGCAGGCAGGTGAATTGTCTGCTGATACCCTTCTTGTTTCCTGAAGCCTCAAGCAGATTCATTCTCCTAGGAATAGATATTATGGAATGTAAGATGAAGACAATAACCTAGAAAAAGAGAAAGGAGAGAAAGGGCAAAATTTCCTTTTGTTTGCAAATGTAGTGTATTAATTGCCTTCCTGGGAGACTTTCTGGACAGACCCTCTAGTAAACAAATTAGATATAAACCGAAGAAGAGGGCACCAAGGTCACCATGGTGAGGGCACATCAAGTGACAGGCGCTGGGCCCCCCGATGCATGGCTTGCAGAGCAGATGTTCACAAGGATGCAGTGATTATTGAACTGGTAATAAAAAAGCATCAGCTTACAGGCAGCCACGATGGATGCTGGTAATTATAAGGCATCCCCTGGGAGGAAAATGACACAAGTCAGCCACAACTCCACAATCACCGGGGCATAATTAAAGCTCCAGTAACAGTTGTTAATAGGGTGCAAATAAAACAGGGGGGAAATTTGAACACCCTCCTCACACACACACCTTTTTTTCTTTTTTAAGAGACGGCAAAGGGCAATGTAATTATAGGGACAGCAGATTTTATAATTTTTCTTTGCATCATAAAACAAAGAGTTGGGCTATTTAGGTAGACCTAGATATTTAAAGTGTAGAAACTAAGAGACACCTAGAATTATTTATATTTATATATGTTTATATATATATACACACACACATACTAAAGGGAAAGTGTGTTTGCTCTTTGAATATGTAGTATGTGGGGGAGAACAGATTTTTAAACAGAATGTTTATATTCTAATTTTCAAAATGGTAGAAATACAAATATGTAAAGAAAACGGAATGCATGTAAATATTTGGCCATTTCATCCTTTCCGGAAGATCTGTAGTGGTATAATGTGCCAAGCTATATGATACTGTTGGTTTAAATGGTTTAGATATTGTTAAATAAAGTCAGCAAATGACTTACAGTGTTGAAAGTCTCACTTTTTCACAGAATGCTGCCAGCCACTCCCTAACCTAAAACATCAAACAAACCACAGCTTGTTTTCCGTGGGCTAAAGCATGGGAGCTATTTGCCAGCAGAAAGTCTAAGAAAAATACATCTACACCCATTGCGACCCAGTTGCTTGGGCGATTGGGCAACTAACTATGCATCTGCATGTGCATTACCAATTAGGCCCACATGAAGATCTGTTTTAAGAGGCACTTGGGTAGTGGGATAAGAAGGAAAGGAATTGCATTTAGTCCCTATGTAGCCACTTTTCCATTTATGGAGTTGGGAAGGATTAGATTTAAACGGCTGACAAATGTAGAAAACACACGATCTGTCCCTGGACTAAACTTGATATTAGAAGTTCATGAATCCCCACACGTGTCATGTTTCAATAAAGTGTAGAACTGAGAACAAAGGGAATGGTGAATCAGTAGAACTTCCACTTTGGGGTCTCAACATGATTGCAATTAGCTACCACAAAGCTTTCTCCTATTTTCCTTGGGTACTTGGAGAGCTGGCCAATTAAACTATAACTGAGTACTGATGTATTTGGTATGTGCTCAGAATGAAACACATTTAGAATAGAATGCATGAAGAATGAATTATATTTCAAGTAGGAGCATAGATTCTTCGTTCTGGGAAGGACCCTAGAGGTTACAGCCCACAGCCCACTGCATGTGGTATGTGATATTCTCATAACCACAGTGAAAAGCACCGAAACACAGCATCTGTTCTTTTGGAAGACACAGAAGAAATGAAGGAATGATAAAAGATGAGGTCTCTGGCTATTCTTGGGTACTGCTAAGGGAAAAATAATAAAAACTTCATGTTTCTCTTATTCTCATGTTTCAGAGGCAAAACACAGAATCACAGGGCTAAAATAATGAGATATGTCATTTTTTTTTTTACTTTGGGAGGGTTAGGGGTGGGGTTTTCTTTAACTAGGAATCGCCCCTGAAAGTGAATAGAGCAAATGAGGATGAGTGACAGAGAAAATGAGGCGTTCTACCCACCTTGGAAATGTACGGGAAGTGATATTTTGCAGGTGGCTCAGGATTCTGCATGGAAAGGGGGTTGATAATTAAATAAATGTGAAATTATTGTGTCTCCTTTTTTGAAGAATACAATCTTATTAATCTATGATAAAATCATACAAGGAGACTAAATATCAAACTGTTAAACATCTTGGTGTTGGACTTAAATAGGTTGTTAGACCCTTAGTCTACTTCCAATGTGTGAGTAAGTTGTCTAACCTACCAAACCTAATCAATTTTTTTAAAAGTCCCCATACTTGAAATCATAACACTTGGAAAACAGAAGCAAAAGGATCTTTGCAAGTTTGAGGCCACCTCAGTTTATATAGTGAATTCTAGGCTAACCCTGTCTCAAGGAAAAGTCCCATTCTTCTTTTCCTCAATTATAAAATAGGGAAGATAATTATATGTACCTCTTTGTGAACCAAATGAGGCACTTTATATAAAGCATTCCATATGTTTACTGACCATTGGATAAGCTGAAAATATCTTAGATTTTTTTTCAGACTCAGTATTTTATTAAATAATTTGTAAATCAAGTAGTGTAACTCTGCTCTGGTATTTTCCACTCTTTGTAGAGTGGAGCTGTACAAAATATGCTAATTCTTTGGTATTCGGATGACTTGGATATGTGTGGGATTCACACAGTCTAGGAGAGGTGCTTATAACTTAGTTTTCACATTATTCAAGTTTTATGAGGGCCGATGGCTTGGGATGGGAGAGGCAGTAGACTTTGAATGTCATGAGGATGGCTAGAAGAAGGCAAGTAGAAGAAGAGGTCCAGGCAGTAGTAGACACATTCAATTAACTGTAATCTTATAGCATTTGGAAAGAATTGAATGAGAGTTACCCTGTAGAGTAGAGATGTATTTGTGAAGTTACCATTGACTCTCTCTGAGACCTTGATCCCCACTGCTTGTTCCTATAAGAAAATATATGGAGCAGGCTAGAGAACTTGATTCTACTCACACCTATAGAAGCTGAAAGTCTCAGATCAGGGGACCTTTCTGAAGTCCTGGTGGCAAATGACATCACAATGACAGGAACAAGAATGTGTGGAAGGAAGATCTCACATCTCAGATGGGAAGATAGAGCTGGGCATTCCTGGTTAGGGGTACTTTCATAACAACTGATTGCCATGAGAACTATTTCAATGCCTTTTGTGAGAAGTGTCCCCAGTGACCTGAGTGCCTTCCCCTAAGCTCCATCACTTTGAGTACTCTATCACCACCATAAACCCACACTGGGAAACAAGGCTGCAATACATGAAACTTTTGGGGGAGTACATCCAAAAAATGTATTTCACTGTCTGGTATACTCCATGAATTGTTTTTGTAGCCTGTTTCCCTATGACCTCGGATAAGGGAAGTGCAACGCTGCTTACTCCCTTTCTCTTATCTGCCATTGTATGTCAGGAGCCACCATTTCTCCTCCTTATTTTTCAGTTTTCTTACATCTCCTTTGTTTCTTCTCCCCTAAAGGTCAGTGGACTTGGACTGAAAAGGAAGAAAAGATAAAAGAGTTCACCCAGGAATCTGAAATGGCATCATGTTCTTCCTTCTTCCAATCCAAAGTCAAGTGATGACAAAAAAGTGATCTTGGCCTGGGAGATGACTCAGTGAGCAAGAGCACTTGCTGCACAATCATGGAAACCTGGCTTCAAAGCCCCAGCACGCACAAACTCCTACACTCACAGATGTGGCCATCAGTACCTGTAACCCATATCAGGAGGCAGGTAGAGGTGAATCATGAGGTGTGGGGGATAGTTAGCCTAACTAAAATAACTTCAGGTTCAGCAAGAGACCCTGTCTCAAAAGAACAAGGCAGAGGTAGAGCAGAGCATTTGATTTTCTCCTTTTGCATCTGCCTACATACATATACAACACACACACACACACACACACACACACACACACACACACACACACACAATACCTAAAGGCTATCTAACATTATCTATTCTAAAAGCCTCTAAGAGGGTAATAAAATCTTGCACAAATTCCTAGTTTACATGGAAAGCAGAATTTCCTTAGAAGAATGTTATATAAATATGAAACAGTTTATTACATCAAGTACAAATTTTGGCACTTCTGCTTCTTTCTTTTAAAGGGCGAGTTTTCTACTGACATTATAAAATATTTAATGTCAATAGCAAATTTCAATTCATGGATCAACTGGTATATAGCAACACATTTTAGACTTAAGAGAGTACTAGTACAAATTATAGTCATTTTAGGGTTTTCTTTTGGTTTTGAAACAAGGTCACATGCAGTTCAGTTGGGTCACTAACTAGTTATGGAAACCAGAGCGGCCTGGAACCCATTATCCTCCTGCCTCAGCCTCCCAAGTGCTGAGGTTACAGGTGTGCACTGCCATGCTGACTATTAAGGAAGAATGTGAGGGAATCCTAACATATACATCTTCTCCTAAATTAAGGTTCTTCAACACAGGGCATTTTAGCACTGCAGAAGCAAAATCAGTGTAGAAGAAGGAGGATATTCGGCCATCTTCAAACTTTTAAGTGTATAAGAGGTGGTCTTAGGGATCATTTTTCTTTTTGCTCTCATTGTCTACAATTTCAGTCTCTCAGTGTCTTTACAATTCTTGATAAGAAATTTAGGAAGTTTGTTTTTGGTTGCTGGTAGAGCATCTTTACAGAAGAATTATTTTCACTTCTTCCTCTAGGGGCTTTGTGCTCCATTTTTAAAAACTGTAGGTTTCACCAGGAGATGCTGTTGCTCTCCAGATTCACTCAGAAGATGATACCTCTTTGCTTGTTTTTAAATTAGTAACAAATTCTACTTCCACTACTGAGTTCTCAAATAACATGATCTTCTTAATGATATGGATTCATTCATTCACTCTGACCAAGAAAATCCATGATTATTTCTGTTTTAATGACTACAGAATGCACTACATAGGCAACAAAGAATCCCCAGTTTCCTGACATCTCCAGTCAATTGTCATGTTAAGAAAACCCAATATGTGTAATTTGTACTATTCCCAGGATTTGTA